TAATAAAGGTCGGCTATTCACATGCAAATGCTATTGAATGTCCGCCATTGTTTGTGCCCGTCTTCCTATGCTCTCGTCATCACCCGAAGATTCCCGACGATTCCCGAAGTATTTTGTTTCATTGAGAGGGCGCAGTAAAATTGAAAATAAAATGAAACTAGGCGCATGAAATTAAAAAAAATTGTTTATTATGCTTATTTTTAATAAAAATACATAAATTAAACCCAAAATTCGCGGATTTCCACTATCCCTTTAACGGTATCAGCTAGAAATTTCTCCAGTTAATTACTTACAATAAGGCAATTGTTTTTTGTATTACAAGTTTTCTGAAATAGCACGTTTAAATATGCAAATTATCCATTATCTCATTAAATAATCACATATGTTAATACATTTCAGGAACACAAATCTGAACTTTGGATAAAGCCAGGTTCAAAATTATAGTTTCATTTTGTAGTCATATTAGTATCTAAGGCTTTTACAGAAGGGATTTTGGATATCTCTTTTTATCATTCCATAAATCAGAAAATTCTGTCAACAGCCCTAAAATATCAATTTTCGCCATGTTTTTAGGTATACAATGTTGTATAATTCAGGCTGTGAATGATATATGAACAAACCCTTCTGTAAAAACCTTCAGAATATTGATAGGAATATAACTGGAAGGTTTGGTGTATGTAAGTGCTACTGAAGTGGACATTTCTCACTCAGAATAGGAGAAACAACTCATCCAGAATGCAGCGGCTCGTCTGGTCTTCAACCTTCCTAAATGTTCCCACACCACGCCTCTCCTCCGCTCCCTTCACTGGCTTCCGGTAACTGCTAGAATCCACTTCAAGACACTGGTACTTGCTTACCATGCTGTGAATGGATCTGGCCCTTCCTACATCCAGGACATGGTTAAACCGTACACCCCAGCACGTGCACTCCGCTCTGCATCAGCCAAACAGCTCGCTGCACCCTCGCTGCGAAGGGGACCCAAGTTCCCATCAGCAGAAACACGTGGGTTTTGCTATCCTTAGCTTTGTTCGTTATTCTCGCGTCCAGGAGAGAAGCTTAGGATAAATGAGACCAATGGAGTCTCTCGAATAAGGTTCAAATGGGTACTTTAATTAAAATGGCGCGGTAATGTTACAAGCAGAGATATGGTTCTGAGAGAGGAAACAGCTGTGTCCTCAGCGTCTCGAGAGCGAAGGGAAGGGCTGAGGAACACACATCAACCGTTTAAATATCCTCCTATGGCTCCTCCTTGTGTGCCGGTTTGCGCTGCTGGGGGTCCTCCCTCCTCCGATCTTCAATGTTCGTTGTTGCGCATAAGACAGGATTCAGACATTGTACGTTCAATATATAACTAAACACGCCTTTCCTCCTCATATTGTCTTTCATCACTTTTCATTTATTGTATTGTAAACGCTGTAATTCAATACTTTAAAATCACTGGAAATACTTTACGACAGTTATCATTTCCGGTAGTCCCGGATGTTGTCATATGCTACCCACGTCTGTAAACAAAACGTATTCAAATAAACTGTACTTTCATTTAATATTCAGCAATAATAATATCTCGACGTCTATAGTTGTTGTGTTGAAATCAGTAGGTGTCGGTGTGCAACACTCCGTGTCATTTCGCTTCTAAATTCACCTCTATATGGAAAGGAATATTAGCCACATGCTAAATGCTAACCGGAGATGAAGGATTTTCAGAATAAAAGCTTGACATCAGACATTGTGCGCGGGAACCTCTGGCTTTTCAGTATAAAACAGCATTTAAACTTACGGTATGTTTAAACTAAATTATGCCATAAAACATTGATTTTAATTTCTAACACTATCCTGGCTCCTAAATGGTGGAATGAGCTCCCCATTGAAATCAGGACAGCAGAAAGCTTACACACCTTCTGGCGCAGACTGAAATCTCATCTCTTTCGACTCCACTTCGAGCGATAGAATTACTAACAAAGCACTTTTATACTAATAAAGGGCTGGCTTATCTAAAGCCAGTTGAGTAGCACTTGAAATGTTTGGCTCTATGAAACCTGATGTACTTTATGATTCTGTTTTCTTCAAGGTTGTGTCTTGTTGGTCGAACGCACTTATTGTAAGTCGCTTTGGATAAAAGCGCCAGCTAAATGCAATGTAATGTAATTTTGAGAAAACGACCTTAAAAGATTGCAGTGAGGCGCTACCTAAACCCTCCTGTTCTCTGGATGACAGCTTGCGCATCGACGCACTCCGTGAAGGCATTTCCTGTTCGGGGTCATTTGTTTTTTGTCTAACCTTGCTTCGTGCAAGTGACAATTGTTGTCGTCTTCTCTGTGAACGTTTTTATCGCTGTTCTTTTGCCATTTTGAGATTTAAATTTCCATGGGAAAGCTAAACGAGGAAGTGTTTTAGCACACCACGTGACGCATCTGAACGTATCACGTTGTCAGAAATTGACACCAGCCAATGAGATTTCGTTGTTTGGTTTAAGTGTCAGGGATGAGCGAAGCAGGCAGGACCCAAATGCAGATTTCTCAGAAAAAGCACCTTTATTTCAAGGCTATAAAGAAACAAACAGAACTCTTCCCTTTGAACACAGTCAAACAACAACAAGGAACTAACAAAGACTAACAGAAAACACAGAACCTAAATGCACACATGACTAATCAAACAAACAAGAGACAGGTGAGGAGGGAGGAGAAAACACAGGGGCACCAGGTGAACACAATCGGGTAATCAGGGAGGGAAAACAGACAGAAAGCAACAGGCAAGACAGGAGGTGAACACTTTTCAAAATAAAACAGGAAACCAAAGACAGAACAAGACAAAACACAACACAGACAGATCGTAACATTAAGACCCCTTTGGTGAATTTAGGAGAAATCTACAGACGCAAATAGACAAACTATAGTCAAATAAACACCTAAATGTGTATTTTGTACATTTTCCTTCCAAAAGCCTGAAAGAAAACATGTTATGGAATCAAAATAGCACAACATCTCAAAATTGACCAGTGCATGAAAAAGTATGTTTTTGCCTGCCGTGTCTCGCCTTAAGCCCAAGATCCCCGACCGCGGCCTCGGTGAAAGGCGAGATCTATCTATTGCAGAATTGAGTGAAAAAGACGGCCGGACAGAACTTTTATGACAGGCCTTTTATGTCGGCTAATTGCATCTGAATTACATCAAATCATTTGGCGCAACTTCCAATTTGATTAAACCAAGAACACAACATAACTAACAAGTCAAAAAGGATAAATATATATATTTACATCATTTTAAGTTTCATTCATTCCAATCCTAAATATAAACGTATGTCACTTATTTTCCAGTTCTTTGAGTGAATGAGTAAATTATTTTGTTGACAGCAACAACAGAGAAAGAAACAACATCTTGCAGTGAGCAGATAACATCAAGGGCCATTTTAACTGTGAGGCTTATCCACTGCAACATTAACATTAATTAAGCCCCGCGGACCCGCCAAAGGGGCCGAAACCACAACATATGCAAGCAACAGCATCTGAGGGCTTCTTAAGATGTAATAAACTATGAATGTTTCATATCCATGTAACGGGAAGAAACTCAGCTAACTGATCTTTTTTTTAAAAACCACAAAGCTAACGCCGAGCCTCTAAATTAGCCACGAGCGAAAAATGCTAACTGCGGTTGCACAGAAAACACGGTACAACACCCTTATTACTTATCATAACGGTATATCCAACATATCGATTAGCATCGTGAGAAGACACAGAATCGATAGGTATATATATCATCACTCCATGATAAGAACTTGCAAACTTATTAACAAAAACAGACATCAAAACACGTGGCGCTAGGTCGCAAAAACGGGAATATGTCTTACCACTGTTGTCTGATCAAAAGTGGTCTTCAATGGCATTAAAATGATCAAAACGCTGCTGAAGTTAATCCAATGTGTCTGTGTCTCTTTGAAATGATTTCTGATAATCCATAAGCAACAAACCTACTTTTCCGTTTTCAGATTTCAGAGGGTGAGACAGGATGCGCTAAACCCCCACTTTTTTTGGGTAACATTGCTGTATATGTGGAAATTCCCCTTCAATTCTATTGGCTCTAACGGTCAAAAAGAGATGTCTCCCTGCTGGACAACAGCTCCTTCAGTGAGGCTGCTGCAGCGGTCAGACTGTACAACCACCACGAACCCTAGTAGACCACCTCACACGCTGGAATACTAAATATGTTTGAAGAATTCTGGGAACCTTTTCCTTAGAAATGCAAAGCTCAAATATACGTATAACATAAGTAAACAATCTTCTAGTACCTTAAACATATTATGCACCAGAACGGTATTGACGGTATTCTTATTATTTTGTTTGTTATTCTCTATTTTCTAGTTTTTGTATTTGTTCATACATTTTGGTACTTTTCTTTTATGTCACCTATTCATATTTGACTAGATATAGAAGTTGACAGGACCCTCTAGGGGAGGACGGAGACGAGACCCTCTTGGGGATGGCCCATGGTGACGTGGAGCCGAGAAGGAGGCCTAGAAAATGTTTCCCGCTCTCAGGTATGATTGTGGTCATCAACTGAATATGGGCCGCACTGTTTCCCCTGACGTGCAACAAATGCTTCTGTCTACATCAGTGCTTCTCAAAATGTGGTCCGCGGACCACTGGTGCTCCGTGAGTGCCCCCTAGTGGTCCGTGAGTATATTGGTAAAATGTCATATTTGAAATAAATAAATTCATTTCAGTTTTCCGCACTCTCACGGGAATATCTCCGCAATGGAGAGAGCTTAAGTTTCGATGGCATGTTATAGCCCAGAGCAACACCTTCATCACACATGTTGCCACTTGTTTGTACCATTTTCAGGCGATTTGTAATCTGTTCTAGAAAAACGATGCGTTTTTTGATATTTGTGGAGTTAGGTGGTCCGCGAGTGTTTTTTTTAGTGGTTAAGTGGTCCTTGGTATGAAAAGGTTTGAGAAACACTGCTCTACATGGATGTTTGTGTGGTGCAATCAAACAGTGTTGGGATCAGCTGTCTCTGCGGCAGCTCAGCAGCCTCTTCACATGCGTGAACACCTCCTTTAACTTCAGTCCGTACACCACAGGGTTCAGTACAGTAGGTACTAGAATCAGCATGGAGGTGATGAGGGTGGAGTCAGATTCTCTGTTGCTCTGCAGGCGGCGAAGCATCAGATCTAAGCAGATGTTGATGGTAAAGTTAAAGAAGACGAGCAGGTGAGGAAGACAGGTTTGTAGAGCTTTGTTGCTGAAGCTACGTGAGCGCCGCAGGCAGATGAAGAGGATCCTAGCGTAGGAGAAGAGAATGAAGGCGGCCGGGAAGACAATAACTACTGTGAACAGCACACTGTATAGTCCACTCAGCTGCGCTGCAGCACCACCACAACTCAGGCTCACAATGCTGTAGAAGTCGCAGTAGACCCTGTTGAGCTGCGCCCTGCAGAGCGGTAAGCGGCTAGCCAGCAGCGTTGTGACTCCCCCTAGAATAGCAGGCAGCATCCAGCAGAGAAGCAGCATCAGCACCACCTTGGCAGGAGTTACCAGCACAGCGTAGTGCATCGGGTGGCAGATGGACAGGTAGCGGTCAAAGGCCATGGCCGACAACAGCATGAAGCTAGATGCACCAAGAGAGTTAACAAAGAAACCCTGGCACAGACACAAAGTCCGGGACACCTGCACCAAGCCAGCGCCGGACAGCAACAGATCAGACAGAAGTTTAGGATAAATCAGTGTGCTGGCTGTGAGAGAGTTCAGCAGAAATGATGCCACGAAGGCAAACATGGGCCGGTGAAGAGCTCGCTGCGAACAGATGATATAAATCACCAGAGAGTCACTGAACAACACGAAGAGGTACAGCAACAAAAACACGAAGAATAAGAGCGAGCTGTGGCCAGACAGCGAGGAGAAACCGACCAGCGTCAGGGACGAGGTCACGTTAAACCCTGCTGACGTCATGAGGAGACCCCAACAAACAACACGCTGTGACCTCAGGTCAACAACAACAACATAGCTAACCAACCTGTTAACATCTAAATAAAGGATATAACATTAGTTTATATCACATTGACATATACAGTAGTAATAAGGAAACTGGAATATTTAGAACACACATTTATTTAACATTCATATTTAAAACGTGTATTCATAGAATATGAATTCACAGTTAATTAATCAGATACTACAATATCTGCTTTAACATTAATGTATAGGTCAATGATAAATATCTATCATGAATCAGAAACAGGCAAAAGCATCATCGCAATGAACACGATACATGAGAAACATGACATTAATATGTGAAATTAGTCATAAACCAGCAGAACAATCACAAGGAACACGAAACATGAGGAGAAACTGACCTGAACCCACCTGTTAAAATATTAATACATAACATTATGCATCACCACAGTGAACCATTGAATGTACGTGAACACGAAACGTGAGAAACATGGGAAAGAGACCTGACTCCACCTGTTTCAACAATTGTGTTAATACATACACACAACATTAATAGTTATAAGATTCATTTAAAGAATGTTAATATATGATTAATCATGAACACAGAGAAACATAATCTCAGTGAACATGAGGAGAAACGGACCTGAATCCACCTGTTTAAACATTAACTTCAATTTATATAACATTAATATATACAGCATTAATATAAAGTACATAATCCTGTTTAAACATTAACGTGAATATATAACAATAATGTAAGAAACATTTATACATATGACTTCAAAATAACATTTATAAGTGAGATATTAAACTAAGATTAGCACAAGGAACACGAAACGTGAGAAGAAACTGACCTGAATCCACCTGTTTAAACATTAACTTCAATTTATATAACATTAATATATACAGCATTAATATAAAGTACATATTTAGTTTCATAATGAATCAGAGAAAGGCAGAAATATTATCACCGTGAACACGAAACATGAGGAGAAACTGACCTGAATCCAGCTGGTGAAACATTAATATAACATTAATGTAGATATGATGAAGCACGTACAGACAGAGACAGCATCTCAGTGAACATGAGGAGAAACTGACCTGAATCCAGCTGTTAAAATATTAATACATAACATTATGCATCACCACAGTGAACCATTGAATGTACGTGAACACGAAACGTGAGAAACATGAGAAAGAGACCTGACTCCACCTGTTTCAACAATTGTGTTAATATATACACACAACATTAATAGTTATAAGATTAATTTAAAGAATGTTAATATATGATTAATCATGAAAACAGAGAAACATAATCTCAGTGAACATGAGGAGAAACGGACCTGAATGCACCTGTTTAAACATTAACTTCAATTTATATAACATTAATATATACAGCATTAATATAAAGTACATAATCCTGTTTAAACATTAACGTGAATATATAACAATAATGTAAGAAACATTTATACATATGACTTCAAAATAACATTTATAAGTGAGATATTAAACTAAGATTAGCACAAGGAACACGAAACGTGAGAAGAAACTGACCTGAATGCACCTGTTTAAACATTAACTTCAATTTATATAACATTAATATATACAGCATTAATATAAAGTACATATTTAGTTTCATAATGAATCAGAAAAAGGCAGAAAGATTATCACCGTGAACACGAAACATGAGGAGAAACTGACCTGAATCCACCTGTTTAAACATTTATGTTAATATATACACACAACATTAATAGTTATAAGATTCATTTAAAGAATGTTAATATATGATTAATCATGAAAACAGAGAAACATGATCTCAGTGAACATGAGGAGAAGCTGACCTGAATCCAGCTGGTGAAACATTAATATAACATTAATGTAGATATGATGAAGCACGTACAGACAGAGACAGCATCTCAGTGAACATGAGGAGAAACTGACCTGAATCCAGCTGGTGAAACATTAATATAACATTAATGTAGATATGATGAAGCACGTACAGACAGAGACAGCATCTCAGTGAACATGAGGAGAAACTGACCTGAATCCAGCTGGTGAAACATTAATATAACATTAATGTAGATATGATGAAGCACGTACAGACAGAGACAGCATCTCAGTGAACATGAGGAGAAACTGACCTGAATCCAGCTGGTGAAACATTAATATAACATTAATGTAGATATGATGAAGCACGTACAGACAGAGACAGCATCTCAGTGAACATGAGGAGAAACTGACCTGAATCCAGCTGGTGAAACATTAATATAACATTAATGTAGATATGATGAAGCACGTACAGACAGAGGCAGCATCTCAGTGAACATGAGGAGAAACTGACCTGAATCCAGCTGGTGAAACATTAATATAACATTAATGTAGATATGATGAAGCACGTACAGACAGAGACAGCATCTCAGTGAACATGAGGAGAAACTGACCTGAATCCAGCTGGTGAAACATTAATATAACATTAATGTAGATATGATGAAGCACGTACAGACAGAGGCAGCATCTCAGTGAACATGAGGAGAAACTGACCTGAATCCAGCTGGTGAAACATTAATATAACATTAATGTAGATATGATGAAGCACGTACAGACAGAGACAGCATCTCAGTGAACATGAGGAGAAACTGACCTGAATCCAGCTGGTGAAACATTAATATAACATTAATGTAGATATGATGAAGCACGTACAGACAGAGACAGCATCTCAGTGAACATGAGGAGAAGCTGACCTGAATCCAGCTGGTGAAACATTAATATAACATTAATGTAGATATGATGAAGCACGTACAGACAGAGGCAGCATCTCAGTGAACATGAGGAGAAACTGACCTGAATCCAGCTGGTGAAACATTAATATAACATTAATGTAGATATGATGAAGCACGTACAGACAGAGACAGCATCTCAGTGAACATGAGGAGAAACTGACCTGAATCCAGCTGGTGAAACATTAATATAACATTAATGTAGATATGATGAAGCACGTACAGACAGAGACAGCATCTCAGTGAACATGAGGAGAAACTGACCTGAATCCAGCTGGTGAAACATTAATATAACATTAATGTAGATATGATGAAGCACGTACAGACAGAGGCAGCATCTCAGTGAACATGAGGAGAAACTGACCTGAATCCAGCTGGTGAAACATTAATATAACATTAATGTAGATATGATGAAGCACGTACAGACAGAGACAGCATCTCAGTGAACATGAGGAGAAACTGACCTGAATCCAGCTGGTGAAACATTAATATAACATTAATGTAGATATGATGAAGCACGTACAGACAGAGACAGCATCTCAGTGAACATGAGGAGAAACTGACCTGAATCCAGCTGGTGAAACATTAATATAACATTAATGTAGATATGATGAAGCACGTACAGACAGAGACAGCATCTCAGTGAACATGAAGCTGTGAAGCTGCTTTTATCACTATCCTTCTTCCTCCGTGGAGATCATTATATATTCATTAAAGGTCATCTGCCAATCACAAATATGTTGTTGTTTGGAATGGCAGGTTCTGAGAAGGCAATGTCAAGTTAATGTAAAACATAAACATCTTAAAATAGTAAAAGCTACTTATATGTTAAAACCTTTCTCGTTCTTAACACAGACTATATTCAGGGTCGATATAGGTTGAACTGAGATTCCCACACACACATTAAGATGTTCTGATCCGCCCGACCGATACAAAGCACGGCTTTGAAGGAAAGGATAAAGTCACTAATCATGTAGTTGCTTTGAACTGTTCTTTGGTAAGTGTGCAGAGCAATGTTGATTTAAAATGGTGGTTTGAAGGTTGAATATTTGTGTATATATTAATGATTAATGTAAATTAATTCCAGTTAAATGTAACTATTAGGAAGACGGTTCTGTTTGTAATTCTTTCTATTTTCATTGTGTTATTTGGTGGCATCAATGTGTGCATTTGATACAGGAGCAGTGTCTTTAGGGCCTCGTAGCCCTTAAGGTCAGAATAAAGAGATCCTCGACCACGCACCGCATAGAAAGGTTCAACCTGTCTGGGAATGGATGCAAAACATCTATTGTCTCATTATCATCTATTTGCTGGATGAGGTTTGGTTTTGAGTCCAAACGTGTTAAAGCAGGAACACGTGCAGCGCTGTGGGCCGCTGGTTAGCATCTGTTCCCTTCATGAGCACATCCAGTGTGACTGACATCCAATTAACATTCATGACAGAGCACACATTTAATTAACCAGGAAAACCCAATCTTTCACTTAATCGGGATAGACATGATCCTCAGAGACGTTTGATTATATTTCAATCATCCGTCTTTCTTGGTCATTGTGCAATATTACTCATTATGAATAAAACACACCAGGAGACAGCTCTTCGGGTCCCGCGGGGAAATACCCGTTTTGTCCTCGTTACGGCCTCTAATATAATCTGACTGGCAGCTCAACCCCCTCTCTCAATCACTGTGCTGGACAAAGACGACAACTCCACTCATTTAATAAGCTTTTTACTTTAGAAATCATAAAGAGGTATTAATATGTGGAGATTATCCTGCTGAACTAAACGTATAAGAATCATAAACATTTGTTTAAAGAGCAACTTGCAGGTTAGAGACCCCAGTGAATAAAGAGAGACAGCAAGCGCATTTCGTGGCATCTGCAGGCAGTGGCAAGTACTTCCGGCATATGCCACCGATGCCACAACTTACCGAGGCATCTGCCGCTGCTCAACGGGAGTTGCCACAAGATGCCAGAGTAAGAGAAGGTTTACTGTAGCTGCTATTTAAACCCGTATTTATCGTGTAAAATGTCGCTGTTTAGGCATGACTTTATCGAACTGATCTGTACACAGGACTGATGATCTGTACACAGGGTTGGGTTGTAACGGAATACATGTAACGGTGTTACATAATCAGAATACAAAAATCAAGTAGCCTAACTGTATTCAGCTCGCGTTACATTTGATTGAATCTGATTACAGTTACTTTCGTAAACCTGAAG